TGTATAGCACAGAGAACTATACTGGATATCTTGTAATAACCAATAATGGAAAAGAAATTTAAAAAGAATAGACATATGTGTATAACTGAACCACTTTGCTGTACACCTGAAACATTCTAAATCAACAACACTTCAATAAAAAATACATTTTTATCATGATATCACTTATATGTGTAATCTAAAAAAAGGTAACAAATGAACTTATTTACAAAGCAGAAATAGAGCCACAGATGTAGAAAACAAACTTATGGTTACTGGGGGGAAGGAGGAGAGAGGGATAAGTTAGGAGATTGGGATTGACATATACCCACTACTATATATAAAATAGATAATAAGAACCTACCGTAGAGCACAGGGAACTCTACTCAATACTCTGTAATGACCTCTATGGGAACAGAATCTAAAAAAGAGTGGATGTATGTATAACTGATTCACTCTGCTGTACACCTGAAACTAACACAACATGAAATCAACTATACTCCAATAAAAATTTTTTAAAAAGTAAAATGCTCTAATTTATAAGTTAACTTTTAAATTTAAATAACTGTGGAAAACTATTAGAAGTATAATAATATAAAGCAAATTGGAATAAATGTTGAAGAAACTCTAAAAAATACATTTCTAAATAAATAAATAAAAATAAAATAAAATTCATCATCACTATTAGGAAGATCAAATTCATCTTGAGAAGTGTCCCTACTCCTTCCTGATGGTATGTCTCCTCCCTTTCCCCAACTATCCACACGTTTTCAGTGAGCACAGATTTCCCCCCGGCCCCCAGCACACACATGGTGGCCTCCAGTTGCCTGTGGGTGGACATGGTGATTCACCAAACCAGCTAGTCACTCACTGCACCTTTTGAAATGTCCTTCCCACCATCCAGCCCTTCACACCCTCACACCCACAGTGCAAAGTCACATGTGGCATAAGAGCACGAGGAAGTTGTAAGTTGAATTGAATTGAATGCTTAACCTCATTTTTGTTTTCTTCCTCCCTTTCTTTAATATCTCAGATTCTGTCCTATTTTCTTATTCTTTCACACAACATTATTATAGAACATAGAGAGGTCAAGGGTGTCCAATAAGAAATACAAGGCAATGTTGAACAAACCCTGAGAGCCTACAGTCTTCCTTGCAACTCCAGATGTAACATTTTCAAAGCCTCTGAAAAAGCATGCTCAAAACAGTGATGGCTGACCAGGGCTCCCTGAGCTATACAGGCCTCTGCTCTGGGGGTGATGGCCAGTCCTAGTGTCTGAGTGATTCCCTAGGCCCAGCAAAGGGAATAAGTTTCCAGAGCCCAATAAAAATAAAAACAAACAGCAACAACAACAACCACGCTCAAGCATTTAAGAGTCCATCGTATCTACTGAGATGATCATATGGTTTTTCTCCTTCAGTTTGTTAATATGGTGTATGACATTGATTGATTTGCGTATATTGAAGAATCCTTGCATTCCTGGGATAAACCCCACTTGATCATGGTATATGATCCTTATATTGTGCTGTTGGATTCTGTTTGCTAGTATTCTGTTGAGGATGTTTACATCTATGTTCATCAGCGATATTGGCCTGTAGTTTTCTTTTTTTGTGACATCTTTGTCTGGTTTTGGTATCAGGGTGATGGTGGCCTCGTAGAATGAGTTTGGGAGTGTTCCTCCCTCTGCTATATTTTGGAAGAGTTTGAGAAGGATAGGTGTTAGCTCTTCTCCAAATGTTTGATAGAATTCACCTCTGAAGCTATCTGGTCCTGGGCTTTTGTTTGTTGGAAGATTTTTAATCACAGTCTCAATTTCAGTGCTTGTGATTGGTCTGTTTATATTTTCTATTTCTTCCTGGTTCAGTCTCAAAAGGTTGTGCTTTTCTAAGAATTTGTCCATTTCTTCCAGGTTGTCCATTTTATTGGCATACAGTTGCTTGTAGTAGTCGCTCATGATCCTTTGTATTTCTGCAGTGTCAGTTGTTACTTCCCCTTTTTCATTTCTAATTCTATTGATTTGAGTCTACTCCCTTTTCTTCTTGATGAGTCTGGCTAATGGTTTAAGCTTTCGAAAAAATTCAACACCCATTTATGATAAAAACCCTCCAGAAAGTAAGTGTACAGGGAACTTACCTCAACATAATAAAGGCCATATATGACAAACCCACAGCCAACATCATTCTCAGTTGTGAAAAACTGAAACCATTCCCTCTAAGATAAGGAACAAGACAAGGTTGTCCACTCTCATCACTATTATTCAACATAATTTTGGAAGTTTTAGCCACAGCAATCAGAGAAGAAAAAGAAATAAAAGGAATCCAAATCGGAAAAGAAGAATTAAAGCTGTCACTGTTTGCAGATGACATGGTACTATACATAGAGAATCCTAAAGATGCTACCAGAAAACTACTAGAGCTAATCAATGAATTTGGCAAAGTAGCAGGATACAAAATTAATGCACAGAAATGCCCTGCATTCCTATACACTAATGATGAAAAATCTGAAAGAGAAATTAAGGAAACACTCCCATTTATCACTGCAACAAAAAGAATAAAATACCTAGGAATAAACCTACCCAAGGAGACAAAAGACCTGTATGCAGAAAACTATAAGACACTGATGAAAGAAATTAAAGACGATACAAACAGATGGAGAGATATACCATGTTCTTGGATTGGAAGAGTCAACATTGTGAAAATGACTATACTACCCAAAGCAATCTACAGATTCAATGCAATCCCTATCAAACTACCAATGGCACTTTTTACAGAGCTAGAACAAAAAATTTGTATGGAAACACAAAAGACCCCGCATAGCCAAAGCAATCTTAAGAAAGAAAAACAGAGCTGGAGGAATTGGGCTCCCTGACTTCAGACTATACTACAAAGCTACAGTAATCAAGACAGTATGGTACTGGCACAGAAACAGAAATATAGATCGATGGAACAGGATACAAAGCCCAGAGATAAACCCATGTACATATAGTCACCTTATTTTTGATAAAGAAGGCAAGAATATACAATGGAGAAAAGACAGCCTCTTCAGTAAGTGGTGCTGGGAAAACCAGACAGCTACATGTAGAAGAATGAAATTAGAACACTCCCTAACACCATACACAAAAATAAACTCAAAATGGATTAAAGACCTAAATGTAAGGCCAGGTACTATAAAACTCTTAGAGGAAAACATAGGCAGAACACTCTATGACATAAATCACAGCAAGATCCTTTTTGACCCACATCCTAGAGAAATGGAAATAAAAACAAAAATAAATGGGACCTAATGAAACTTAAAAGCTTTTGCACAGCAAAGGAAAACACAAACAAGACAAAAAGACAACCCTCAGAATGGGAGAAAATATTTGCAAATGAAGCAATTGACAAAGGATTAATCTCCGAAATATACAAGCAGCTCATGCAGCTTCAATATCAAAAAAACAAACAACCCAATCCAAAAATGGGCAGAAGACCTAAATAGACATTTCTCCAAAGAAGATACACAGATTGCCAACAAACACATGAAAGGATGCTCCACATCACTAATCATTAGAGAAATGCAAATCAAAAATACAATGAGGTAACACCTCACACCAGTAAGAATGGCCATCATCAAAAAATCTAGAAACAATAAATGCTGGAGAGCGTGTAGAGAAAAGGGAACCCCCTTGCACTGTTTGTGGGAATGTAAATTGATACAGCCACTATGGAGAACAGTATGGAAGTTCCTTAAAAAACTACAAATAGAACTACCATATGACCTAGCAATCCCACTACTGGACATATACCCTGAGAAAACCATAATTCAGAAAGAGTCATGTACCACAATGTTCACTGCAGCTCTATTTACAATAGCCAGGACATGGAAGCAACCTAAGTGCCCATCAACAGATGAATGGATAAAGAAGATGTGGCACATATATACAATGGAATATTACTCAGCCATAAAAAGAAATGAAATTGAGTTATTTGTAGTGAGGTGGATGGACCTAGAGTCTGTCATACAGAGTGAAGTAAGTCAGAAAGAGAAAAACAAATACCGTATGCTAACACATATATATGGAATCTAAAAAAAAAAAAAGGTTCTGAAGAACCTAGGGGCAAGACGGGAATAAAGATGCAGACATAGGGAATGGACTTGAGGACACAGGGAGAGGGAAGGGTAAGCTGGGATGAAGTGAGAGTGGCGTGGACATATATACACTAGCAAATGTAAAACAGAGAGCTAGTGGGAAGCAGCCGCATAGCACAGGGAGATCAGCTCGGTGCTTTGTGACCACCTAGAGGGGTGGGATAGGGAGGGAGGGAGGGAGTTGCAAGAGGGAGGGGATATGGGGATATATGTTATATGTATAGCTGATTTACTTTGTTATAAAGCAGAAACTAACACACCACTGTAAAGCAATTATACTCCAATAAAGACGTTAAAAAAAAAAGATTCCATTGTAAGCTCTTATGGAAGGAAGCATACACAAATCTTGCTAAAACAATATATTATAATTTTAAATGCAATCGGTGATATCTGTTTATAGCAATGCAATGCCGTCAGCCAAACACAGGCCCAGGTTATGCCCCTCTAGAACTGTGGAAGCATGAAGGAAAGTCATAAAATGTCTTAATTCTAACATCTACTACAGCATTTTAAAAGAACTTTACAACATCCTTCAGCTAAACCTCGTGATTTACCAAAAGACACATAACTATTGATGCCTTATGGGTAGTATATAGTCATAAAATATATCTCCCACATATTTCATAGTTGATCTTCCATGGAATAAAACATATGTAATCATAGGTGATCTTTTAATAGGGCTCACAGACACACTTAGGGTTAAATATGGCTACAGAGCCACATAACTCCAAGAAATCCTTCAAATCTTGTCTAAACAAACAGCATGACATTGTCAGTTTTATCAGATTCCATTTGCCCCTCTTAAATACTTCATCAGTGTATAAGTAAACAAAGGGAAAAGGAGGGGAAAAAAATACAGAAACGAAAACCAAAGTGCAAATCAATCATCTTACCGTCCCCTTTCCTTATGGTTGGAGGCTTTGGGAACGGCTGGCCCCAAGGGAGGTGGTAAGTCAGGGTCAGCCCGCAGGGTTTCTGTCCCTGGTTGGAGCCCGCTGAGTTGATGGTGGTTATTAAAAACAAAAGTGCATTTAGAAGTCAGTCCTGGATGGAGTTGCTAATTGCACTTTTCTTTCCCAAAGAGCTTTGGGTCTGGTCTGTACGTAGGAGAGGGATGCCTCACAGCTTGTCAGGAGACCCAGCTGTGCAGAGGCTGAGAGAAAGGAGAAAGTGGGCTCCGGTGATGCCTCTTAGGGCTTTAATCCTCAGCTGTGACACATGTGGGGAACTAGAAACAGGAAACTCTGAGCCCAGCAGGCAGCCAGAAACATTCAGAAAACGTGCCAAGCCCTTTCGAAATACCACACTCTCCACTGAGCATTCACTCCTAACAGTTCACAGGCTGTGTCTCTCTTCTCAAATGACTGAGCCATAAACCTGGGCAAGGCTGGCCCACAGATATCTCGTCTGTCACAGTTCCTGTTATCAGAATCTGGACCAGGCCAGGCCAGGCCTGGGGTCTCCTATGCCCTCCCTCTTCTGCCAACCTCCCAAGCCTCCTGTAATGACATCCACAGATGGGAGCTCCCGGCGATGCTGCAGGACCTTTCATTCAGGTCTTTGCATGTTTCAGACGCAGGGCCTCTTCCTACTGTGCCCACCGCACCTGCCATGTTGCCCTGGGGACACTGCAGGGATCTCTTCTCAGCATCCCGGAGGCGAGGAGACCCAAGAGTCACCCCTGGGCTCAAAATCCATCCGGGCAGGGAGGATTCGAGGAAATGTAGCCAGAGCTTCTGGCTTCCACTCGCAGCGGCCTGATCCATCCCCGAGAGACTGTGCTGCTGAATCCCTCTTCTGTTTCTCTCTCACGGCCCCTCCTGCACCCCGCATCCAGATTCATGTTCTCAACACAGCACGGGCACCGCCTATCAGCTGTACTCAAAGTCTGCAGCGCAAGGACCAAAATGGCCAAAGCTCCTCTCCTGGCATCCAAGGCCCTCCCGCAGCTACCTCCGCATACCTTTCCACCTTGTCCCACTGCCCTTCAAAAGAACCCCCCGCGCCAACCTGGATGGGCCACCACTCTCTCCAGAAGACAACGTTCAAACCTGTGTTTGCACGTGCTCTGCAGCCACCACCCTGCCCCGTCTCCCCTTCTCTTGAACGTGATGTCACAACACGCACAACACTCCGTCCCCCTCCTCTTCGTCCCCCTCCCCGCACTTCCGGTCTTCACCACCGTTCGCTCATGCATACCCCCTACTGCATCCTGGGGTGACGCTCCCTGCTCTGAATCCAAGTCTTCTCTCCATGATAATAACACAGACAGCAAGGGTGGGCACTTATTATGTATCAGGCGTTTTTCCAGGAACTTTAAATTCTTTAAGCCCATTTTACAGATAAGGCAATTGAGGCATGGAAAAGGTAAGTACTTTCCCCAAGATTCCCTCAGCCAGGCAGGGTGGAGCCCGGGTGGAACCCAACCTGGCCTTGCTCTTTGAGTCTTTCCAGGGACCTGTGCTATTTATCAATATTTGTGAACAGGGAGTATGTACTCAGGGGGAGTGCAATTTCCTCACCCTTCTCGGTATCCTTTCCAGAGGGCCTCCCAGAATGTTTTCCAATGCTAAATGATTATAAGTAGCTGTGACTAATTGGGAGACTAATGAGCTTTAATTGAGAGATCAAATGTTTCCACCTGAGTGGTAGACAGGACTTTCAACATTAAGAATGAGCAGAATGGTCTTGAGGTTAAGGCAACATTCCTGTAGAGGTTTTGCTGACATTTTTAACCTACCTATCACGTGACTATTCAGGCCTAGGCCATCTGGTGCATCAACAGACTGCTAAAGACATAACCTCACTGAAAAAGCTGAGATACCCTCAAAGGTCGGGGGGCCGGGGGAACTTTCCACGCTTCCTCCAATGTGGAGTAGCAGAGGCCTCTGGAGCCTAACCCACCCGCAGCTCCAGGGGCAGCCTTGCTGATCTGAGCTGTTAGACCCTTAGAAACACACTAGTACCGCCCACGTTGCTGGCCAGGTGCTACTCATGCTGGAAGGTGAATGATATTTCACTGAAGAGATGTTTCTGGCTTCCACTGAAGGCAAGACCCTCTCAATGCTCTTTGGAAGAACAACAACAAAAGATCAGGAAAACACAGCTTTTGTCCCCAAGAAACTTACTACCCAGTTGATAGGGAGGCCATGGACAAGACACCAGCAGGCTTAACCCACCCTAGGTATTTGCCCCAAAACAGGAGTTTGTTTTCCCAAGTTTTCCCTAATCAGTTTATCCTTACTGAACATTTAGTGGAGAGGAAAGATTTTGTTTCCAGGATTTTTCTGACCCTCTTTTCCACTCTAGATGTCTCCCTTCCTCTTTCCCGCTTCTCAACAAGGAGACACACATGCACACACATGCACACACACACTCCTGCCTGGGTTTTGTCAGTTGCTTAGTCCCACCCGACAGAGTTCAGGGAAAACAAATTGTCAGAGTTGGCAATAAAAATTCAGTACCAGAAGTTCATGGAAAATCTCCAAACTCCAAGGTCCTTTACAAAGTCTGGAGCACAGCACTCACTGAGCCAAGCCCGCAGATTTTACCATGGAAACTCTCAGAAGACGTCATTATGACGCGATTTTATAAGCGACATGGTCTTTACAGAACTCCGAAACATCTGTATTTATACTTAATAGGTCAGAAATAGCTCACATATTTTCCCGTAATATTTTTATGGAAAAGTTTGCACATTCAGAATGGATCTGCATTTAAGAATATCTTTAATATGACTGTAACCCACTTCTCCATGTGTTTCCTTAATCCATGTGTTTCCTACACATCATAATCAATGAGAAAGGAGAATGCAAAGCACATACAACGTGTGTGTGTGTGTGCATGCACGTGCATATGTGTGCATGTGTGTGCTTGCGTGTGTGCCTTCAGGCAAGCATGTCCATACCTGGAATCTGACCTTGCCTGTCCTGTCACATACTACAGGTCCTTAAGAAAGGGTGGTAAACCCTGCTTTACTAGGTCCAGCAATTTGGTAATTAATTTTGTAGTTAGACACTGACCTGGGCCCCAGGAGACCTGGATGAAAGAGGCTGCTCTAACTTCATGGATGTGGCTTTGGGGAAACCACTTCACCTCTCTGCACTTCAGTTTCTACATCTGGAAAAACATACAGTATAATCTAAATCCTTGCTACACGAAGTGTGGCCACAGTCCAGAGACATCATCAAGGAATGCACTAGAAATGCAGACTCTCAGGCCCCACCCCAGAACGACTGAATCAAAATCAGCCTTTTTTTTTTTTTTTTTTTTTTTTTTTTTGCGGTACGCGGGCCTCACTGCTGTGGCCTCCCCCACCGCGGAGCATAGGCTCCGGACGCACAGGCCCAGCGGCCATGGCTCACGGGCCTAGCCGCTCCGTGGCATGTGGGATCCTCCCGGACCGGGGCACGAACCCATGTCCCCTGCACCGGCAGGCGGACTCTCAACCACTGCGCCACCAGGGAAGCCCCAGAATCAGCATTTTAATAAGATTCCCCACGTGACCCGTGTGAGCGGTAAAGCTTGAGGAACACTGATCTAAATGTTCTCTGAAGTGCCTTCCAGGGGCACATTTTGTTAGTTTAACCCTTATCCCTTTCAGCTGAAGAGTTAACATGCTATACACAATGGCTGCCTTGTGACCTTTGTGGTTATGACCCGGGGGGATCTGGCTGATTCCACTCCTGTTCCAGGCAATGACACATAAACAGACCAGATCATCTCCATGACTCTCCCAGACCACTAAGTCACACTCTGTCTTCCAGCTTCCTTCCAAGCCTCTTAGGAGAATACTTAATACTTAACCCTTAATACTGCCTACCTCCAGACAGCTCCCACATCCATCACTGGGTCTGAGGGGTTGTGCAAGCACAGATTAGTGAACAGGAAAGATTCTAGATGAATTATTACAGTGATCGTCTTTAGCACTTAATGAAGCCATGATCACTAAGAGAAAGCATGAAGTGACTAAGAATGAACGAAGTCTGGTGAAGCTCATTTAATCTTGTATTTGATGGGGTCAGAGAGGTGGAGATTAGGCAGAATACTGAGAATTTAATGAATCAGGATTTCACGAAAGCATTTCAAACCTCTTTCTTGTGAGCAAGATGAAGAATACACTCAGTAGAGTTGGACACCTTCCTAAACGCCCATACTCCATGACAAATGGGTTAATGTGAAGAGTGGTCACCAGTGGACAACCTCGGGTGCCATACTTGTTCCCTCCCAGGAAAGTGGCAGCTAGGATGGATGTGGACAAGTTCACGGTCACCCTCCAGCTACAGCAAGTCAAGAGTAGAGGAGGTAAGGGTGGTTGGAAGGGATATATTCCCCCCCTGCCAAAAAAACCAAATTCAGGATTAAAAAGCAAAACAGAAATCTGAAGCCAAAAAAAAATTACCAAGTGAGCATGGGCAAAAAAACCCCAGAGAGTGTGGAAGTGGTAATATTTCCAGGGGTCATGAGTGCAGGACAACAGAGGGCCACAAACCCAAGCCAGAGATTGGGAAGGGAATTGGGAGCTGCAGAGTGAGTTCTACAACATGTGGGCACAGCTCACCACGTGATGGGAGACCAGCACTTAAAATGGACTTTGAATTCACGGAGTGAGCAAATCAGGATCCCAAAAGATCCCATGAGGATGGAGCCATGGCCAAATCTAACAATAGGAAATGTAACAGAGGCAAATCTAAAGTCCTATTCTTACTTCCCAAACCTCATTTTGTAAGTACAGGACAAGGCACCCAAAAAGCAAAAGCATGGGTGGAGGACACAACCAAACAAATGTTAGGGTCTCAATTGACTAAGATGTCCTCTGTGAACCCTAAGTGTGATGGGAGACTGCGAATTCAGCTGCCCTGGTAGAAGCATAGCTTCTCATACAAGGAGGGCGGCCACTCTCGAGATTGTCCTCCAGAGCAATGTTTTCCAAATGTTCTCCCACCATGGCACTCAGAGAAAATGAGAACAAGGGCTGCTCTTGGCCAGAGAAGACCAACCAAGCCCTCCACCCTGCCCATAGGTCGAGGGGATTGATATCTGTACACCTGGAAGCCATCAGGCCAAGGGACCCTACCATAGACCCTACCACAGAGATGTTGAAACAGGAAACCAGGGCCAGTAGGGATAAATCCAAAACTAGAATTCAGGTCTGCAAACTTCAACACCTTTCTTAGTTACTCTGTTCACAGTGCCTCACTGCATATATCTGTGAACTTTGGGTGAGGTTTTCAGCTCTTTCAGTGAATGAGGAACTCATTGTTTTTTAATAAGGTAAGATGATATATTTACTATGTGTCAAGTTCTAAATATGAGTAACAGTCCAATAAATGTGCCCAACTTACTGTGCCATTAAATTTTACATGAAAACACTGTCTTTGGTTGTTCTTTGACACAAGTTAACTAGTGTCACTAAGTTTGTGGGAAGGTTCGAAACATTCCAATTAGTATAGAATTTTAAAATATTTTGTCATGAAAAATATAACCATGATACAGAAGATAAGAAGGAAAAAAGAAAAGACTTAAACATTCTTCATGATCTTGCAGCCAAATTCCCATCACTGTTGGCATTTTGGAATATTTCCATCTACTCTTTTTTTTCTAGGCACATATGTCTTTGTAATCTCTTCTGATTTAACATTACATCACAAGTGGTTTTTTATGCTATTACATGGCTTTTATCACTATCGTTTTTAGTGCCAGGTACTGCATATCACCTCCTATTCTGACACATTACCCCTTTTTCACAGTCTTGACTCTATTGCTTTCATTTTACATTTAAAAAGAAAAAAGACTGTATCCACACACTACACTTGAAAAGTCTGGATGAGAGGAAATGAGGGGAGGGATAAATTATGAGTTTGGGATTAACATATACACACTACTATATATAAAATAGATAACCAAAAAGGACCTACTGTATAGCACAGGGAACTCTACTCAGTATTTTATAATAAACTATAATGGAAAAGAATCTGAAAAATAATATATATGTGCGTGTATATATATATATATATATATATATACACACACACACATGTATAACTGAATCACTTGGCTGTACATTTGAAATTAACACATTGTAAATTAACTATACTTAAAGAAAAAATTTAAAAATAAAAGTCTGGATGGACAACACATCCATGGCACCCACAGTGGTTGTTTGGAAAGG